TCTCTCTCTCTCTCTCTCTCTCTCTCTCTCTCTCTCTCTTTCTCTCTATACATTTATAACATTTATATGGTCACCTAAAAATGTCACCTTTTTCAGATATTACAATCAAAAACTTTACCTTCGGTTCCACCACAGAAAAAGCAGCTTAAGAAACGCGAGACTGTTCGCTAGGGTGAGACCCAAACAATCGGATAAAAGCGGAAGATTGCTTACGTCAAAATGCGCAACAACATACGAATATTGATAATATTGCGATACCAGCATCAGCATCATGTACGAAGACCAATAGAGATTCGGATAAGCCGAGTCCGGCCACATGCCGATAAAACGAAGACCGATTTCGACCAAGCGGCTAATGGTGGTTGCGCGTGTCATGGTCTTTTCAGAACTACCGGTATGGTAAAAATAGATAGTCACGTCAACGCGCAAAAAGCACACACAGAACGTTGTACTCTTCGCGTGTGACAAAAAAGGTATAATACTGAATAACCACAGCGAAGACGATAAAGCGCAGGCAGTAACGATCAATTGTAATTGCGCTTTGTCGCATTAATTCTTGGAAGCTCGCGGGTATAATATATGAGAGCGACGACGATGCCCGCTCCCCTTCTGAGGCAGTGACCAATTTAGTAGTTGCATGATGGCACATAATTGTTCTCAAAATGAATATTTAACTCGACTAAATGTCGGTTTCAGCTATATCCGATGGAAAAAAATTATGAAGACATTAACGTTGCGGGGTGAATGCGGGACATATGTGCGAAAAGAGAAAAGTGAAGAATATATTCCACTCTTAAAAATATAGTAAAATGTCTGATGTTTGAGAAACGACTGATGTTGCAATTACTTTTTGTTACGTTTACGTTTTGTCCTTTACTTATAGACTCGCTCACGTTTTGTTTCGCTTTGCTAAGTTTCCTCCTACAACCAATGCTCTCAGAGCAAGTACAAAAGCTAAACAAGAAAGATGAAATTCTCAGCATGCGATATAGAAATGTAAGTAATTGTCAACGACATAAATTATATTTAATTGTAAATCTTGTAATATTAAAAAGCATGTTAATATAAAAAGAGAAAGAAACAGATCAGAGATTGGGTAATTAAAATAAAATCTTATTGAAAAAAAAACTTTTTAAACATATATTCAATGAAATTTTATATGTATATTATTAGTCAAATACATGTTTGCATGCGCGCGCGCGCGTGTTCTCTTCTTTAAATATATAATAATGTATCATAATATTTTAGGTGAAATGTCCACTTGATATGGAATAACCATTAACAAAGTTACAATATATAGTTATGGAATAAATTATAAATCATTTCTATAAAGAGACTATATGCTTATAATTTTTTGTGCAACATTATTCAATCAGCAATAATGACGATCAACTATTAATGACATAATTTGAGCTGAAAAATTCTAATGGTCTAACATTTTTCCGATTTTCAGTACATAGCATTTAATACCGATATATAGGAAACAGAAGCCTTCATAATCTAAAAAATTATCTTCGATTAATAGAATGTAGTGTATTAGATAAGCAGATTGTTTATAACATAACGCCTTACGCTTGTAAATCCTTCTAACGTCAAATCAATGATTCGTCCTGCAGTAATTGTTAATTGCTTTTGACATCATAAATAATATAATGCGACTGTCGCTTGGCGGTAAATTATACCAAAGTGTCTCATATATCGCATCGCTAATCGACTTACTTTAGAAACAGGATGAACCGTTTGACATACAGAGAGAGTAACAATAAATTTAAAAATATTTTTTGTGGTAAAAAATGTTTTACTCTCCAATACTTTTTTAACGATGAGAGTAATTTTAAATCATAATTTATGACACGTAGTTAATCAACAGTTGATGCAACGTAAATAAAAAGAAAAGTGTATTTGCAATAATGCGTCTGAAATACGAAAACGACTCGTTTACATACCTTGGCGCTTAAAAATTCTCCTGCAAAACAATATAGGAAAACCTCCAGAATTATTACAGTATAATAGCTCACGGACTTGATCAAATTTACTGCATCTTCGCCGGAGCTAATAATCTGCAATAAAATAAGAAAGAAAAAGTTATCTAAAATATGAAGAAAACAACTGACATTACTCACAATTATTATTACAAAACCAGTGCAACACATAACTAACGTATTCCACAGAACTTGAATCAGCGTAACATGAGTATACAGATTCTCGATATTTTGCGATAAAATGATAATCTTAAATTCTGATGCTTGCAAATGAGATTTCTTATAACAAGTAGAAATGTGCTGCGATCATATTTTCGACTAAGAAAGTTGGAAATTTCGGCTAAGTCTTGCTGCATAATATTGATCTGACCGCTCACATGAAGTATCTATAAATTATACCAATTAATTTATGTACAATACGTTATCTAAAGTAATACCTTGTCTTAATGTTAATTCGAATTGATCGTATTAGACCGATAATAAAACATTTTTATTTTAAATTCTTAACCCCTTCAATCTCATTATATACTTACCAACGCGACAAGTAATGCATTTATCAAGCTAACCACAAAAGCTATCACCGTATCGTAAACGAATTGTCCAATTAAGAAACACTCGAAAATCGGTGATTTACTAACGTCGAAAGGGAATTCCATTTTTATGGGAAGTTCTCGAGAACTATTGCCGAACTGATTGACATCGTCCCTCGACTGAAGCAAATGCTCGCCAATCGACAGAGAGAAAGCAGAAAAGGCATACATACTGAACATTATATTAGCAAAACGGCGCGACATGTCCGCCATGCTCATCAACGAATCATTAATAACGCACTCACTCCAGTCTTGATCTATCGCCTTCACAATATAATAGAATATCCTGCAGAACATTTCTTTATGTGTAACAAGTCACGTAAAATATTGTTTATATATGACTTTACTCAAAAAGCATGGCAACAAATATATCTTCGCGCACAATTCGTCTCGTCGAGATTATGTAATGTTAACGTAATTATATTTGGATTAGGTGGGTAAGATATTAATTGGGTATTATATTGGGATTAGAGAGATACATTTGATATTATTCTCGCAAAACGTAGCTTACCGACGATTCCACCACAGAATGAGAAGCTTAAGAAAAACGAGGCTGTACGCCAGAGTAAGACTAAGACAGTCCATAAGGAGCCAAATATCGTTTGAGTCGATATGTGCGAATATGTACGTATATTGATAATATTGCGCTATTGCTATTGTTGTCATATAGCTAAACCAATAGAGATTTGGATATGCCGAGTCCGGCCACATGCCGATGAAACGGAGACCGATCTCAACCGAACGGCTGATGGTAGTTGTGCGTTTCATTGCCTTTTCAGAACTACTGATATAATAAGAACAGATATAGTAGTCGCATAATAAAAAAGCACACACAAACGTTGTGACTTCACGTGTACTTCACGTGATGACGGCAAAAGTATAATACTGAATAATCATAGCGTAGACATAGATGAAGCGCAGGCAGTAACAATCAATTGTAATTGCACGTCGTCGCAATAATGCTTGGAAGTTTACGGGTATATTAAAAGCAAAAACGATAATAATGCCCGCTTCCCTTCTGAAGCGGTGTACAATTTAATATTTGCATAATGGCACATAATTGCTTTAACAATGAATTTCTGTCTCGACTAAATGTCAATTTCAGCTATATTCGATAGAGAAAAAAATTATAAAAACGTTAATGTTTGCGCGACATGTATGCAAGCGAAAGATAAAAGCAAAAAATTTATTGCAGTAAAAAATGATATCTGAGAAGAAAATCTTCTTCCTATAATTTATTGTCCCTTGTACTTACTTCGCTCACGTTTTGTTTCGTTTTGTTACGTTTTCTTCTACAACCAAAGATGCTTTCAAAACGAGTACTTATAGAAGCTAGACAAGAGAGGTAAAATTGCCAGCATGCGATGTAGAAATGTAAGTAATTGTCAACAACGTAAATTCCATTTAGTTATACCATGTTAATATAAAAAAAAGCATGTTTATATAAGAAAAAGAAGGAAATATCAGAGGATAACTGAAACAAGATCTTACGTTTAAGCAAAAACTTTCTAAAGATATATTCAATAAAATCGTACGTATAATATTGATAATATACCTACATATTCGCATGCGCGTTTTCTCCTTTAAATATATAATTTATCATAATATTTTAGACAAAAAGTCTACTTGACATGGAAAAATTATCATCAATAAAGTATAGTTATTGAATGAATTAAAAATAACTTCTACTAAAATGACGTTACTATCATTCAGTCAACAATAATAACGACAAGCTATTGATGAAACTATTTGGGGACTGAGAAATTCTAATAGTCTAACATTTCTTCTGATTTTAGTACATTGCATTTAACACTGATATATAAGAAACAGAAGCTTTCATTATCTAAAAAAGAATTATCCTCGATTAATGTGGCGTAGTGTATTAGATTGTTTAATGACATAACGCCTTACACTTGTAAATCCTTCTAAAGTCAAATCAATGACTCTTCCTGCAGTGATCGTCAATCGCTTTTGACATCTTAATATCATAAATAATATAACGCGACTGTCGCTTGGCGGCAAATTATACCAAAGTGACTCATATATTGCGTTGCTAATCGACTTACTCTGAAAGCAGATAAACCGTTTGAAACATACGGAGTGACAATAAATTGAAAAATATTTTTTGTCATTAAAGGTATTTTACACTACAATATCTTTTAATAATGAAAATAATTTTAAAACACAAAATATGACACGTAGTTAATCCCCGTTTAATACAACATAAATAAAAAGAAACATATTTGTAATGACGCCTCTGAAATATTAAAAGGGTGTTCGTTTACATACCTTGGCACTTAAAAATTCTCCTGCAAAACAATATATAAAAACCTCCAAAACTATTGCAATGTAATAGCTCACGGACTTGATCAAATTTGCTGTATCTTCGCCGGAGCTAATGATCTGCAATAAGATAAGAAAAGAATATTGTTATCTAAAATGTAAAGAAACGGCCGACACTACTCACAATTATAATCACAAAACCAGTGCAACACATAACTAACGTATTCCACAGAACTTGCATCAGCGCAATGTAACTATACAAATTCTCGATATTTTCCGATAAATTGATAATCCTCTGATGCTTGCAAATAAGACCTTTGATAACAAGTAGGAATGTGCTGCGATCATATTTTCCATTAGAAATTTCGACTAAGTCTTGCTGCATAATATCTATCTGACCGCTTACGTGAAGTACCTATGAATATTAGATAATTTATGTATACGTTATATCTAAAGTAATACCTTGTCTTTTAATATGAATTTGAATCGATCGTATTGGACCGATAAATCTTTTTCAATCTCATTATACACTTACCAACGCAACAAGTAACGCATTTATCAAGCCGACCACAAAAGCTATCACCATATCGTAAAGGAATTGCCCAATTAAGAAACACTCGAAAATCGGTGATTTGCTAACGTCGAAAGGGAATTCCATTTTTATGGGAAGTTCTCGGGAACTGTTGCCGGATTGATCGACGTCGTCCATGGACTGAAGCAAATGCTCGCCAATCGACAGAAAGAAAGAAGAAAAGGCATAGAGACCGAACATTATATTAGCAAAACGGTGCGACATATCTGCCATGCTCGTCATCGTGGAGCTATACGAGTCATTACTAACGCACTCACTCAAGTCTTGATCTATTGCCTTCACAATATAATAGAATATCCTGCAGGACATTTCTTCATGTGTAACGAGTCACGAAAGATATTGTGTATATACAATTTTATTCAAGAAGTAACAATTAAATATCTTCACGCCTCACATTTGCCTCGTCGACACATGTAAATGTTAACGTAATTATATTGGAATTATAGATATATGATACATTCTACATCATTCTCGCTGATAAACGCATCTTACCGACGATTCCACCACAGAACGAGAAGCTTGAGAAAAGCGAGGCTGTACGCCAGGGTAAGACTGAGGCAGTCCATGAGGAGCCAAAGATCGTTCAAGTCAAAGTGTGCGAATATGTACGCGTACTGATAATATTGCACTATTACTACCGTTGTCATGTAGCTAAACCAATAGAGATTTGGATATGCCGAGTCCGGCCACATGCCGATGAAACGGAGACCAATCTCAACGGAGCGACTGATAGTATTCGCACGCGTCATCGTTCTTCGTTAACTGCCGAACGTTAAAAATCAACGACTACGGAGACGTCAGTGCGCGAAAAGCATTTACGTGCACCGATATGTTCCACATGATGGTTAAAACATTAAATAATCGCAACGGAGAAACTCTAAAACGTAAGGTACTTAGAACGTGAATCAATCGTAATTACGTCTCGAGCGTTCTCATCGCATTAGGTAATGCAAGCTTATAGCTCTCTACCGATGAGAAAAAAGATACGATTATGTTCATTTCTTCTCTGAATTAATGAACACTTTGGTTTGCACAATGACAGATAATGGCTTTTAGAACTGTGCATTTCTGTCCCGAAGAGCAGTTTTGTCTATATCCATCAGACAAAAAATATGTGCAATATCTTGGCAAAAACGTTGACATCTGCAGAACGCAAAAAAATGGAAAGAGAAAGTTATTATAGTTATTAAATGTGTTCGTGGTATACCGATCCCGCTAATTCCCTTTGCTTTTCTCTCGTATACTTTCTTATGTTACTCCGCTTCTATTTCAAACAAAGACAAGAGCCACCGAAGTTACGATGGTCAATAAGATTTGTGGATTTCGCCGACGTATTTTTCTATAATAATAGACTGTGATATAAAAATATAAATTGTTGACGATTTAAATCATTTTTGTTGCTGATTTTCAAATAAATATTGAGTCGCCATAAACGAAAAAGTTTCGATACGAAATTCTCTCAATAGATCGCTTCACATGACAGATAACAGGAGAAAAGACGCGCGCGTTTCTTTCAATTTGTTGAAAGAATAAGAGAAAATAATACAATAGAAGAGAGAATAGAACAATAGTAAATAATTTTCTTTATAAACGCAACACAAGTGTAATAGTGTGATAATATATAAGCACATATCTGTTATAAATATGCACGTAGAGCTTTACGTTTCCAGAAAAAAGACTAGATTTAAGAAAGATAATCAAAAGTAATACAATAATACAATATATATTATTTGAATAATAATTACACGTTTATATTAATGAAGATAGAAAGATATATGTAAATCAAGAATTTGATGAGTGCAATGACTGGAATTTGGAACAAAAGGTTTATATTATGAGCGTGGACAAATCTTAGACGTTATTTTGAAATGCATGTAGACCTTCCTTTTTAGATCTGTAATTTTTATTAACGACATATTATAAATTGAAATATAAAAAATTGATATTTTATAGAGTGAAATAAATTATTGATATTTTAAAGTGTGAAATAAATTAGTTACCATATAAAAATAATTATTCATTGAATTCATAAAAAATAATTTATATTAAAGTAATCTTGTGCCTTCTCTTGTAACTTGTGTTTCATTTGGCCAAGAATAACGATTGTCTAACAAAATTATTGTGGCTAAGGCAACAGTGAATATGCACGCATATAGCAATTGACAAACGTCATTCTGAACTTAATACATCGCATTTAATACAGATACGTAAGAAGCTGATGCCTTCATAATCTAAAAAATTGCACAAACTAAGAAATATATAACCCAAAATGTCAAAGAACGCAGAATTTAATGTAATGTCTTACGCTTGTAAATCCTTCCAAAGTCAAATCAACGACTTTTCCTGCAGTAATCGTCAATCGTTTTTGCGATCTTAGTATTACAAACAATAAAATGCGACTATTTGTCGGTGGCATATCGTACCAAAGTGACTCATATATCGCATTGCTAATTGACCTACTCTAAAAACAGGGTAAATTCAATTTTAAACACAATAGACGAACGATCGACAAACTCAAAAGCGTTTTTCATCAGTCAAAATACATCTTTTAACTTATTTTTTTAATGAAAATTAACTTTTTGATTAAAAACAGATAATGATGAAATCGTGATATGTTCTTCACGAAGTTCTCTACAAACCTTGGCGCTCAAAAATTCTCCGGCAAAACAGAGTATAAAAACTTCTAGAGTGATTGCGATATAAAAACTCACAGATTTGATCGAAGTTGTCCCACTATCGTTGGTACGAATAGTCTGCAATAAAATAACGATGAAGAAATATTCTTCATCAAAGGTGGAACAGCAGCCAAGTCATTACTCACGATTACAATCACAAAACCAGTGCAGCAGATGACTAAAGTATTCCATAAAAGTTGCATTAATGCGATATAAGTATATAAGTTTTCAATATTTTCTGATAAAGTAATAATCTTCTGATGCTTGCAAATAAGGGCTTTGATAATAACTAAGGATGTGCTAGGATCGTGTTTTCTGCTGGAAATTTCGTTTATGTCTTGTCGCATAATGTCAATCTGACCGCTTACGTGAAGTATCTATAAATATGGAACTATTAAAACGTTAAAACGCATCTTATTATTAGTTAAATTACAATATTATTAATTATTAATTAATTAGATGAATTATTAATTAGATTCATTAGATCAATTATATCAAACCAGGACACTATTATAATTGTTAACAACAAAAAAGTTGAAGAAAAGATACCTATATCAATTAAGATGTACAATTGTACGTAAAAATAGCTTCGCAGAGTCATCGCGAACTCACCAATGAAACGAGTAACGCATTCATTATACCAACTATAGAAGCCAGCACCAATTCGTAAAAGAATTGCCCGATTAAAAAGCACTCGAAAATCGGGGAGTCGCTGATATCGAAAGGGAACTCCATCTTTATAGGGAGTTCTCGAGAATTATTGTCAACTCCACTGGCGTTGTCCATCGACTGAAGCAAGTGCTCGCCGATTGATAGAAAAAACGCAGCAAAAGCGTTAATAGTAATCATCACGTTGGAGCAACGACGTGATATATCCGCCACGTTCATCATTGTGGCGTTATATGAACCGTTGATGACGCATTCTTTCCAATCCTGATCCATCACTTTTACAATATAGTAAAATATCCTGCAGGAAGCAGCTTATATATCGAGTATTGTATATATTAATAAATTTTCTTCACAGAAAGGGACAGAAGAACATTTAAATATCTGACTTTACTTAAACATGGTACTAATGGTAAATCTTATTCGATCTTCATTCGTTTCGTTGAAATTATTCAGTGATAACTGTAGCTCTAGATAACGTTGCCCCGATTCGCTATTATTTGTTTTTGAGTTACGTCTGCAACAAAATGCGTCTTACCGGCGGTTCCACCATAAGGCAAAGAGCTTGAGAAAAGCGAGAGTGTACGCCAGGGTAAGACCGAGACAGTCCATGAGGAGCGAGATATCGCTCAGGTCAAAATGCGTAAGAACGTACGCGTACTGATAATATTGCACTATCACCATCGTCGCCATGTATATTAACCAATAAAGAGTCGCGTAAGCGGAATCCGGCCACATGCCGATGAAACGGAGGCCGATTTCGACCGGGCGGCTGATGGTACTTGTGCGCTTCATCGTTCTGCCGACAATCACCGAACGTTACGAAACGATGGCTATTGAGATGTCAATAATGCACCGTAACGCGCAACGTGAACGTCGCTCTCCGAATAATCGTGGGGAGAGACGGTAAAGCGCAGGTCCACCCTCGATCAATCGTAATTGTACGCCGACTATTCCAATCCAATTATTTCTTGAGAGCTTACAAGTCTATCAAATGTACTTATAAGTGCACCGAATAAAAAACAAAACGTATCTATACTTTGTTTCTATGAAATAGCTCATGTAATATTGCTTGATAATTACTTAAAGAAATGAAAATTTCTAAATGCAAAGATAATCATCTCTACAATCGTCTCTATAGCCAACAAAAAAACTGTGCATATTTTCGAAAAAAAAGATGTTATTATCTATAGGCAGAAAATGGAGGTAATACATGGAAGAGAAAAGTGAAGAACATTCGGTGTCTAGTATGCGCGTGAAAACTGGATTATTCTCGGTGATAACATCTTATAAATAAGTAGTAATATTATTTCACACGTGAATAAAACTTTAAATTGTATTATTCAAAAATTAGACCTTTGCAGAGTATATGGGTAACATACAAAATGTTTTTTTTGCGAAATTTCTTTGTACTAATATACGTATCAACAATCCGTTCAACGGAATCGAACATTTGACTAAAACTATCCCTATCGCATAGAAGTCACGGCGACCGTTTCTTTAGAAAATATTCGTTTGTTATTATCGTGGAGATAAGTCCAATTTAATATTCTATTCTAGAAGAATAAATATTCTTACCTCTGTACCCGAATGCAACTTTTCATTCTTTTTTAATACAACGCGCTTAAAACGGATATGTACGACGCGGACGATTTCATAATCTGAAGCAATTAAGCATGTTAAAATTTTTGTTTCAGCCCTAATTTGAATGACGAAGATTTCCAGACGGTTCAAATAAACTCACGGTCGTGAAACCTTCCAAGGACAGATCAGTTATCTTGCCCGCAGTGATGGTTAATCGTTTCTGTGATCTCAGCATGAGGAACATCAAGACCCGACACTCGCTGGGTGTCATATCGTACCAGAAGCACTCGTACGCAGCGTCGCTGATGGACTTACTCTGCAATGGCAAACAAGCTTCCACGATTAATCGCGTCTAAATGAATCCTCTTTCGGGAGTTAATGTGAAACTTCCAAAAATTCAAAATTCTACGACGCTACCATTACGCTCCCTTACGCTGACCTTAGCGCTGAGGTATTCTCCGGCGTAGCAAAAGACGAATGCCTCAAGAGTTATCGCGACATAAAAGATGAGGGATTTTGTTATCATAGTAGCACCTTCTTCCGTACCGATAGACTGCAATGTGTACAATATGTGTACAGTATAAGTTTGTACAACTATACATTTTGTGTATTTTATTAGAAACAATATTCTAAATTAAACGACATATGTATAGACACACATGTACTGAGAAAAAAATTTTCTGCATTTTAGTAAATATTATTTTGCATACAACTGTGACTCCATTTACTAAAATAGAAAAAATTTTCCTTTTTATTAGTATATGTGTATACACTAAGAAAAAATATACTAATAAAAAGGAAAATTTTCTTTATTTTAATAAATGGAGTCACAGTTGTACGTAAACTAATATTTACTAAATTGCAGAAAAATTATTTCTCTGTGTGCACATATAGAGAAAGAGAGAGAGAGAAAGAGAGAGATAATTATAGTAAAAATGTGTAAAGTTATAACTTACTATTACGATTACAAAGCCTATGCAACAGATGACTAAAGTATTCCAGATAAACTGCAACAATGCGATGTTTGAGAAAAGGTCTTCAATATTGTCCGATAAATCGATGATTCTCTGATGTCTGTTAATCAAGTCTTTAATAGCAGTTAGAGAAGATCTTGATGTGTGCTTCTTAGAGGAAATTTCCACGAAGCCATGCCGCATAATATCAATTTGACCACTTACATGTAGTACCTAAAAAACATCTTCAGCTTTACAGATACTTTAGAGCAGTATCGCTACCTTCGCGAAAAATCTGAAAAATTATACACACAAAACTGTATTTAAAAATAAGGTATTGTTAGTATATTCATTGGAACACGAGATTCCCAATGCAATCGCCATTAAAAAGACAAAGAAGTCTAAAGTAGAGCTGCAATACATTTATGGAAATAAAAATATGATCTCTCATAGCTGTTACAAGTACCAGTAAAATCAATTTTCCAATTCTGATCGAGTTTTTGTTCACTCGTCTTTATTTTAACGAAGCAAAGAATTAAATAACAATAACACATAAGAAAAAAATATTATATCTTATATACATATGTATATCTTTTTTCATAACTAGATGCAAGATTACTCATGTCTCCTATTCAACAAGTAATTTTGACAATCTTTAAGCCGATTTAGATCACAAATACGAAATACAGTCAAGTCTTACCAGCGTAACGAGCAAAGCGTTTAGCATAGCGATGACACAAGCCACAGATAAATCATGAAAAAATTGGGCTATCAATACCAGCTCAAAAATCGGGGAGTCGTTGACCTTAAAGGGAAACTCCATCTTGATGGGCAGCTCGCGAGTTGAACTTTCGCGATCGTTCCTTTGAATCATCGATCGGAATATTGGACCGCCGATCACGTAAAAGAACACGGCCAACGCATTCGTCGTGATCATCACGTTAGAACATTGACGAGACAAGTTGGCGTGTCTGATCATCGTGGATACGTCCGAACGGATTGCAATCCCGTCGCTCCAATCTTTGTCCATCGTATCCAGAATGACGTACAACTTTCTACGGAACATTTCTTACATCCGATATCGTTCGCGCGGGACAGAAATGGAATTGAAACGGAACGAGGAGCGCGATCGATCGATCGCCTTGTCCGCACGGAGACCATTAAGCATAAAATCTTACCGACGATTGTACCAGAGATTGATCAGTTTGAGGAACGACAGGCTATAGCCCAACGTGATGCTCAGGCCGTCTACGAAAACCGAGAGATCGCTGATATCGAAGTGCGCCAGGATATACGAATATTGAAAGTACTGCACTATTGCCACCGACAAAATATAACTCCACCAGTTGATATTCGCGTATACGCAACGCGGCCACATTCCGATGAAACGTAGGCCTGCTTCGACCGACTCGCTGACCGTGCTCGCGCGTCCTATCGCACCTTTGCCTAACTCCAACATGTTTCTCCTGAGAGAGACTATCACCTCCACGAGCTGTGTAAAATCTCCTCGACATAATAACATTGGATATAGCAAAAAGTCGAGACAGTAGAAAGGGGGAGATGAGATAATACGCGATAATAAACTGTCGATCAATCGTAATTACCCGTACTTCGCAGAAATGGCGAATTAAATCGAAATTGGATGCTCATCAATTCGCTGGATTATAGACTTGAAAGAAAAATGTCACATGTAGAAAAAGCGATCCGTCTCGGTTCTTTCTTTTTTCTCTTCAGTTTAAAAACGCCGAGTTTTCCGAGTCGCTAGTTTGCCGAGTCATTTACTTTAAAGATGCATAAAGCTTTCTCTGAAGATCGCTCGGCGCTCGCTGAGAGAGCAACAAATTAAATATACTGATGGTGAAACGTAAAACGAACATTGAAGCAAAGATATACAAAAATGTAACGCAAGTTGAGCGATATGTTGTATGGTCGTGTATGTCAACGTTTCTTTCTATATCAAAAATTATTTAAACATATATGAATATATATAAAACAAAAAGAATGTATTACTATACAAAAGAATTACTTTTTTTATATCACTAGACACTACAGACGCGCGCTACGCGCGCGCTATTTATCTTTAAC